ATCGTGCAAAGATTTATAAGTGTATCTCTAATTGTGCGTGTTTTTTAAACTTTGCTCTCTCTCTCTCTCTCTCTCTCTCTCTCTCTCTCTCTCTCTCTCTCTCTCTCTCTCTCTCTCTCTCTCTCTCTCTCTCTCTCTCTCTCTCTCTCTCTCTCTCTCTCTCTCTCTCTCTCTCTCTCTCTCTCTCTCTCTCTCTCTCTCTCTGTGTGTGTCTGTGTGTGTCTCTTTCTCTCTCTCTTTCTACCAACTTCTTTATATCCTTCGTCAAATTTCTTGACATAGCTTTTCCCATGCGTTTATTGTTTTGCGACGCAACAACATAGTTTTGTCACGTATAGATTTTTTTTCAGCTAGGCCTATGATCTTATTAGAGATGACAAATATATGCCTACCTAGGCATGGAATTAGAATTACATGGAATTAGAAGGAGAGAATAAGAGTGAAAAGGAGTTTCTGTGATAATTTATTTTGTACTGTGTCATCCCCTAGGATCTACTCTAGGGCCTAGAAGTCAGTAGGAGTACACAGATTAAATCCTCAATGATCTCGCCCCCCCCCCCCTCCCCGGGAAGTCGCGACCCACAGGTTGAGAACCCCTGGATTAGAGAGTACTTGCGTGATCTTCGACTTTCCTAGACAAACCAAGAAAAAGCTCATTGCCCTTCAGATCATTGACTAACAACTCGTTTGCGCTCATTCGCTACGTATTATTTTCGGCTTGTGGACGAATTTTTTTTCGGGAGGGCGAAAGAGATGGTAACTAGTGGGCAGTTAAAAGGTCTTTGGGGCCACAAATTCAAATAAATATCAAAGTATTGTATATCAATATTTTCAGTATGGTTTGTATAATACGTCTGTAATATTATTTATGTATTTTTCAACTTTGGTTCCTGTAAGAGGCGATTATGCAACACAATTTTGATTGGATGCGGATAAAATTTTAAAACCAAAAATTAATTATCTTTGGTGAAACTCAAAAATATTTGTTTGCACCTAGTCAAATGATACATCACAATAACCATAAATGAATATAGAACTGGAAAATATTGAAAAGTTTGCAGTTATTTATATACATCACATATTTGTACATTTGGATAATAACATCCGATATTGAAAAAAAAAATAAAAATTATAATCTTGAAAAACGATCACAAACAGAAAAAAACCCACTCGTATCTTATAAGGTATTATTCAGAATTGAAATTTTGAATAAACCTATACATGTCTTGAGTGGCACTTTTTGTGTAATCTCATCAAAAAGTAGTGATTTTGGGTGAAAAAAAATATTTTGACAATTTAGATCTAGACCTAGACTCAAAAATATTGATTTCTCAATAACAGTGCATTGGCAATATGAGTCCAATCGTATCAATATTATAAAACAGAGTCCTACATTTCTTTAGTGGGCAAAATAATGATAGATTTTGTTGTGTAAAATTACTGTAAAGACTGGTTTCCGGGCTATAATTTTGGCATCGCGATAAAACAAAGTGGAATAAACTACGAAATCGCGTTTCAAAACTGAATCTAAATTCCCGTTTTTCAATGGAAATGCTTGACCCGGAAGTCAACATTATTAGGACCTTTATTTTAACATTGATAATAATATGTGGATTGGAATAGAATCTAAGCTAAAATTAAAGATTGGTTCTCGAGCCGCCGGGGGCGGCTTAAGCTGTCATTCCATATGCCCGAGAAATCGATGCGAACTTCGGGTGCGAGGGGTATGTGAAATGCTATTTTTTTGTTATTACATAATTTAAACGATTAATGATAGCAAAGATTACAAACTGGACAGTAAATGTTCCACTTTTCACTCGTTTGTAAAAGCCGCTCTTGCTTTAAAAGCTATAGGGTTACTTCCGAAAACGATAAATCGTGCCCTCAAGACGCCATTGTTTTCGGTCTTCAATTCCTCACAGGTCATGTGGTACAGTTCCCGTTCTATAAGTGTAGAATTCTGTGATCTAGATCTAGATTACATAGACTCCCGAGAGTTTCCGACAAGCTTAAAAAAAAGTGGTTGCCAAGGAAATGGCAGCCACCTTGAACATAAACACCTCTTTTCAGTCTTAGTTTTAATACTTCTCTCTCAAAAAAAGGAAATCAACATTTTGACGTTTTCCCCACTTGCCTAGTGTTTCTATGCTGCTTCGTTCCTTTGAAGTAGATTTGACGGGAAATAAGCCCCGCCCACTTCACGAAGAATTCGGGTGCAGAAGAAAAAAGTTTCGCTCCCTCGTGCGAAACAAAATCTTCGCATGCGAATTTCGGATTCGGCCCTGCGAAATTCCGGTACATATGGATTTACACAATGACAAAAAGGTTGGCGCGAAAAAAATAGTTCGCACGCGAAATTCGCACCCGAAATTCGCATAGGTTTTCCGGGCATGTTAAAGTACAAAATCTGCAATGTTCTAACCCTCTTATTGTCCATTGTTGATATGGTCAGGATATGTTATGGTCAAACTATGTTATGGTCCAATACTGTTACAGTACAACAGTGTTATGGTCCATTGTTGATATGGTCCGGATTTGTTATGGTCATACTCTGTTATGGTCCAACTCTGTTATGGCTCATTGTTGTTATGGTCCACTTAAAGTTTGGTTAAACACTGTTATGGTTGTACTCTTATGGTCCTTTCTTGATATGGTCCAGATTTGTTATGGTCCATTGTTGTTATGGTTCAACTTGCTTATGGTCCAACTGTCTTTTGGTCCAACTCTGTTATGGTCTATGACTGTTTTGGTTTAAATCTGCTATGTTCTAACCCTTTCATGGTCCATTGTTAGTATGGTCCAGATCGGTTATGGTCCAACTCTGTTATGGTCCAATACTGTCATGGTCTACTATTGTTACGGCCCAACTCTGTTATGGTACAACTTTGTTTTTTACCATTGTTGATATGGTCCAGATTTGTTAAGGTCTAACTCGGTTATGGTACAACTCTGTTATTGTCCAATGTTGTTATAGTCCAACTCTTCTATAGTCCATCTCTATTTTGGTCCAATCCTCCCTTTTATGGTCCAACTCTGTTATGGCCCAATTTTGTTATGGTCCAATTATGGTTTGCTTGAACACCGTTGCGGCCCAACTCCATTGTAGATATGGTCCAGATTTAGTATGGTTCAACTCGCTTATGGTCCAAGTGTCTTATTGTTCAAATCTGTTATGATCTAACACTGTTATGGTTTAAATCTGATATGTTCTAACCTTCTTATGGTCCATTGTTGATATGGCACAGATGGGTTATGGTCCAACTCTGTTATTGTCCAATACTGTTATGGTCCAGATTTCTTATGGTCCAGATTTCTTATGGTCCAACTCTGTTATGGTCCACCCCGGTCCGGTCCATTGTTGTTATGGTCCAATTTTTCTATTGTCCGCCTTTTTTTTGTGGTCCAACCCCCCCC